AATATAGTGGGGGCGGTAAAGCGTCACACTTGGCGTCATCCCTGCCCCCCACCCCCCAACACCCTGGCGCGCCACTGCGCAGCCGCAGAAACGTCTCTTAGGCTTCGAGTCCTGCGCCTTCGGTCTCGTGCGTCAGTCTGCCGCAGTCGTTCGGTGGGTGAAGTCGCACTCCAGCCGCAGCGCAGACACCGCTCCTGAGACGCTCGGAGCCTATCTTCTGCCTCACGATGTCTGAGGAACAGGGTAAGGGACCCTCCCCGAAACTGCCCCACTAACTTATGCCTCTTTTCTCACACGGTCTGGGGAACGGGTCTGGGAGGATTGGCACCGAATCCACCTAGAGGGCTACACAGGCCACCGTGGGATTGGTTGGTCATCGGCCAAGGCCTGTCCGTCGTACCCCTATAAGTCAGTGTGGGAATGTAGATGTGGTGGGCAGGATCTAGCCCTGGGTCTAGGGTGTCCCCTGGGCTCGATGTGTCCTAGGAATTTGTGGTTCCCACGGTGTTTATGGCGTCCCAGACGCTCGCGGCATCTTTAGGGTTAATGGCGTCTCAGGGACTCGACGTGATCCTGGGGCTCATGGCGCCTCAGGTTTGTGGCGTTATAGCGGTTCGAGGTGATCTTGGGGTTCATGGCGCCTCAGGTTTGTGCCGTTATAGCGGTTCGAGGTGATCCTGGGGCTCATGGCGCCTCAGGTTTGTGCCGTTATAGCGGTTCGAGGTGATCCTGGGGCTCATGGCGCCTCAGGTTTGTGCCGTTATAGCGGTTCGAGGTGATCTTGGGGCTCATGGCGCCTCAGGTTTGTGGCGTTATAGCGGTTTGACGTGACCCTGGCGCTCGTGGCGCCGCTCAGGTTTATGGCGTCCTAGTGTCTCGGGGAGAACCTGGCGCTCGTGGCGCCGCTCAGGTTTATGGAATCCTAGGGACTCGAGGCGATCTCGACGCTTGTGACGCCACTCAGGTTTATGGCGTCCTAGGGACTCGAGGAGAACCTGGCGCTCGTGGCGCCGCTCAGGTTTATGGAATCCTAGGGACTCGAGGCGATCTCGACGCTCGTGACGCCACTCAGGTTTATGGAATCCTAGGGACTCGAGGCGATCCCGACGCTCGTGGCGCCACTCAGGTTTATGGCGTCCTAGGGACTCGAGGCGATCCCGACGCTCGTGGCGCCACTCAGGTTTATGGCGTCCTAGTGTCTCGAGGAGAACCTGGCGCTCGTGGCGCCGCTCAGGTTTATGGAGTCCTAGGGACTCGAGGTGAACCTCGCGCTCGTGGCGCCGCTCAGGTTTATGGAGTCCTTGGGGCTCGAGGCGATCCCGACGCTCGTGGCGCCGCTCAGGTTTATGGAGTCCTAGGGACTCGAGGTGAACCTGGCGCTCGTAGCGCCGCTCAGGTTTATGGCGTCCCAGGGTCGGGGGTGATCTGGGGCTCACTGCATTTTGGGGGTTCAAGGTGTCCCAGGGGCTCGAGGTGACACTGCTCGTGGCGCTAGCGTTCGGAGTGTCGGGGCCTGGTTTCTGCACGAGGGCCGAGATTCTTTCCAGTACCCACCTAGTGGTCGTGAAACAATCTCCGCCATCTCTGCACCGGAGGCTGGGCCACCGCAGTGTGTTTCTGGTGCCCTCCAGAGGACGGCTTCAGAGCTGGTCCATTAGGCCGCACTTGTTCTTTGAACTTTTTTCAAGGCCTCGTGGGCACCCCCTCAAGCCGCTGCTGAGCACCGCCCCTTGCGAGCGGTCTGCACTTTGCAACCTCAAATTTCAACAGCGCCGCGGTGGCGTGATTCGAGGTGGTTCCCACAGCCTCTCGAAGGGTGCTACTGCCTATTAGCTTATATTGGCCGCTTATTGAGTAACTGGTGCTGACTTTCTGGGACTCTGTTGGTCTTTTATCCTTTCTTTTTTCCTGTTGGAGGAGGTAGGAGTCCAGGAAGGACCAAGACTCTCAGACTGTATATAGAATTTTGAGTTTAAAGGATCGATGAACTAACGAGTTGATTCGTTATAACATCTGAGATCGAGATGTTGATTTTGAGGCTTTGATGGTAACCACGTTTGGTCAAAAACAGATAGTGCGGGCTTGCTGTTTTATTGTAAATACGTAAATGAGGAAAAAGAAAATAAAAATGTGGGTGTGGAGAAGTCTCCGCGTATAGAGCCTGATGCAGGGGTCATGGAATACCGAAATATGTGAGGACCTCGGTAAAGCAGGGGAAGCCTTCTTTAAGTTAAAGCACGGTCGTTTGATTAAAAAAAAGGCTTCAACTTAGTCTGTTGGGGATCACTTCATTCCCTCCTCAATCCAGCTCTTTCTGAATTCGGACTGCTCTAGAGTTTTATAACATGAAGTGGTAAACTGGTTTAAGGTTTATAAGTAGTGATTTTACACATACCTTTTCTGCGTGGTATTTTATAAAGCAGGACACAAGCTCGAGTCAGTTTTGAGGCTGCCTCTAGAGCCTGAATTGGAACCTACATCATGTGATTCTCAATCTAGCACCATTTACACACCGCCACACCCCTCACACTAGCTAATTACTTTATTCTAATATTTTAGTCTAGTTCAAATAAATGTATTGAATCTAAGCTATATGCAATGCAATACTTCAAGTTACTATTCTTTTTCAGGCCAACTTTAAGAAATAAAGCTCATTTATATATATTTTGCATAACATGCTATTTTTCATATTCGTTTAAATGGTTTACTGAGTTGATATTTCACATCTAGTTTTTTCGTGGCCATCTCACATTTTGTGAGATTCAGTATGAATTTAATTTGCTTTATAGCAACATTTACTTTTGTACTTTATTTCTGCATGATTTATTATTATAATGATTAATATTAGCTTAGAGAACAAATTTGGAAGTTCATGGTCATCACAGAGTCTGGTTATGTAGCATCATTTATATAATTTAAAAGATAAAAACACACAAGGATGGAGAGTACAGCATAGGGAATGTAGTCACTAGTATTGTAATGGCTATATGTAGAGCCAGATGGGTGATAGAGTAATTGGGAGGATCATTTCATAAACTATATAAATGTCTAACCAATATACTGTATACTTGAAACTAATAATAAAATAAAATAATAAAAATAAATAACAGAATTAAAAACATGTGTCCACACAAAAACTTGTACACAGACGTTCACAGCAGCGCTGTCAAAAAGGTAGAAACAACTCAAATGTCCATCAACAGATTAATGGATAAGCAAATGTCATATATCCATGCAATGGAATATTATTTAGCCATGAAAAGGAATGAAGTACTGATACATGCTTCAAGGTGGATGAACCTTGAAAACATTTTTCTAAGTGAGGAGGCCAGACAAAAAAGAACAAATGTTGTATGATTCCACTTAAATGATATATCCAGAAAATTCATAGTGAGAGAAACACAGATTGGTGGTTGTCAGGGGCTGGGGTAGAGAGAATGGGGGAGGAACTGCTTAAATGGATATAGGGTTTATTTTGGGATGATGAAAATGTTTCGTAACTAGATAAATGTGGTGGTTCCCCAACATTGTGAATGTACTTAATGTCACTGACCTGTTCACTTTAAAATGGTTAATTTTATGTTGTGTGGATTTTACTTCAATAAAAATAAAAATTTTAATCCAGATAAAAAATAAATAAAAGTTAAAAATATATCATTGAACATATAATAGCATGGGCCAGGTCTTCATGTTTTTTAAATGAGAAGAAATTTATTGCTCTATAAAATCAGAAGTACTAAAAATAATACTATCTGTGTCTGTATACATACATATAAACATACATATATATCTCAAAACTTCATACTAAGCAATTGATTTCTTAGCTAGCTTGCAATGATTAGAGATATGAAAATATTTAATGTAATTTTTCAGCTAAAATATATTTTTTAAATAATCCATAACTTTATAAGGTAGTTTCCTCTAGAAACTGTTTATTTAATGTGGTATCTAACCTAAACTTTCTCTGTTTTTATTCTTAGATTATATCGTTGTAACTATTGACGATGACAGTGATAACAACAATGATGAGGAGGATGATGACGTTGTGATAATAGAAGATTCTGAAACAGAGTCTACTGAGAACACAGATTCCACTGATAGCATGGTGACCACACAACCAGATTTTCAAGGCGGCACTGATAACTATCAGCCACCATACCAAATGTCATATGGTAATTTTGTTAAATTTCCTCCTCTGAAATTTTGCTTCTGATCCCTTTTTCCAGTAAATTGCTTAAATATACCTATGTGTTTTATATTAATTAGTAATTAGCAGAGGGCCATAATGTTTACTTGTGCTTGCATTTTTCCTTCATTTAAGCTTTGTCATGTTTCCTTTTCTATTTTTGCTCTACAGAGGGTGGGGAAGTAGCCTCAGAAAGCATTATGAAGAACATATTCTTTCTCTGAAAAATTTGTGCTTGGCAATTATAATTATAACTGTGGTGACAAAGTAAAAGCTGAATTTATGGGAAACACATAAATTCAAGGGTTCCTGGAACAAATGACATGGAAGGTCTCAGAGAATCAACAAAAAACTCCTGGAACTAATAAGCAATTATAGCAAGATTGTAGGATACTAGGTTAACATGCAAAAGTTAATCCTTTTTCTGTATACCAGCAATAAACAATTAGAACTTGATATTAAAAATAGCACCATTTACATTAATACCCCAAAAAGAGTCCATGGGAAATGGAGTCCTGCTTCCAGAACTGCCATAGCTACTTGTCCTTTCAATGGTTGCTTCTCAACCACAGTGATGGAAATGTGAGGCCATTCACCTCACTTGTATACAGAGAGCCAAGAGACATTAACCCCTTGAGCCATTTCTTCAGTAGCTATATGACAATTTGTTCTTTGCCTTTTGCTTAGAGAACTGGGTTTCCTACTCTTTAAAATTTGAAATGTTTGCTTAGTTTAGAGATTGGCAACCTTTCTGTAAAGGGCCAGATAGTAAATATCTTAGGCTTTGCAGCCATAAGGGCTCTGTCACTACTCCACTCTGCTATTGAAGCATAAAAACAGCCTGTACATAAATTGATGAGTGTAGCTATGTTTCAGTAAAACTTATAGACACTGAAATTTGAATTTCTTATAATTTTTCTATTTCAATGAAATATTCTTTTGTTTTTTTATTTTTTAAATCATTTAAAGATGTAAAAAAAATCTTAGCTTGTAGGCTATACCAAAAAACAAGTGGTAAGGTGGATTTGGTCTACAGGCTATAGTTTGTGGAACTCTGATCTAACTGATGCCAAAAACCCTTTTGATACCACTTGTTATTTGTTCTGGTTCTAAAAATATGTGCAAGACCAGCAGATACTTCCTTCGTGTGTTATATCTGGCTGACTCCAACAGTACTCCTTAGTGGAAATGAACAAGAGAAGAATTTTCAAATGTGGATACCCATTTTTTTTATCATTTCTACTTCTAGGAATTTATCCCATAGAACTACTTGCACAAGTGCAAGACTGTTCAGCAGTGTTTTTTTGCAAGAGCAAAGCTTCAGAAGTAATTCGAATATCCATGAATCAGCGACTAGTTAAATGAATTGTGGCCTGTCTGCATGATAGGAAACTAAGAAGCTGTTAAAGTGGTTTTAGTATATCTAAAGGTATTGGTTTGGAAAGACCAATGCACATTTAGTGAAAAAAAAAAGGAGGTTGCAGAGCAGTATTTATATATAGTCTGATCCCTTTTATTTATCTAACAGAAAAATTCAGAATAGGAGATTTCAGTAAAGGTAGTCAGGTAAATATTGTTTTTATTGTGGTGAAATATACATACATCATTGTTTTCATTTTAACCTTTTGTAAGTGTACAATTTAGTAGCATTAAACAGCCTAATAGCTCTAGCTAGAATTTTCAGTATAATGTTGATACCAGTGGTGAAAGTAGGCACCCTTGTCTTGTTCCTAAGCATAGGAGGAAAGCTTTCAGTCATTCAACATTGAATATAGTGTTAGCTGTGGGTTTTCATAAGTACTCTTTATCAGGTTGTGAAATTTTCCCTCTGTTCCTAGTTTTTTTGAGAATTTTTATAATGAAATGGTGTTGGATTTTTGTCAAATGCCTTTTCTGATCAATTGAGATCATAGTTTTTTTTCCCCTTGGTTTTATTAATGTGATGTGTTACATTGATGAGTTTTCTTATGTAGAACTACCCTTGCATTCCTGAGATAAATCCGCCTTGGTCATGGTAGCTAATCCTAATATGCTGTTGGATTAGATTGGTTAATGTTTTGTTGAGGATTTTTTCATCTATATCTATAACAGATATTGGCCTATAATTTTCTTTTCTTGTAATGTCTTTATCTGACTTTAGTATCAGAGTAATTCTGGCCTCATAGAATGATTTAGGAAGTATACGCTCTTCAGTTTTTTTGGAAAAGTTTGAGTAGGATCGTTGTTAATTCTTTAAATGTTTGGTAGAATCTACCAGTAAAAGCCCTATAGTCCAGGCCTTTTCTTTGCTGGGGGGTTTGTGATGACCAATTCAATTACTTTACTTGTTATAGATCTGTTGAGATTTTCTATTTTTTCTTGAGTCAGTTTAGATAATTATTTAAATTATAAAAACAAATTGCTTTCACTAAAATTCAGCCAGGACTCCAATTCAATTTGAGTTGGCATTCTGAGAACATATCCATATTAAATTTATTAAGGTTGTAAATATGTGAATTAACTTTTTTATGTGTTGCTTTTCAGGAGTTGAAGGTTTAGCAGAGCTAAGTAACCAACCAGTTTCACAAATGAACCATCCAGCAAATTTAAAAACATGTAACCCCAACTCAGCAGAAGTGGAGTTTATCCCACCGTGCAAAAACAGACAATCCTCTGATTCGAAAGAAGATGATATGGTTTGTATAGTAAAGTTAAAATCTTTATTTTTTTAATTCTGCTTTTTTTTTAAAAAAAGTGAGTTTAATTTCATACAGTAAAATGCACAGATCTTAAGTATATAGCTGAATGAGTTTTGACAAATATGTATACCTACCCCCATCAAGATAAAGAACATTTCCATCATTGCAGAAAGTTGCCTCATACTTCTTTCTCATAAGTCCCCACCCTCCCCAAACCTTTGAGAAATATTATTCTGATCTTTTTTAATCATAGGTTAGTTTTGACTGCTTATAGAACTTAATATAAATAGAATCATACAGTGCACACTCTTTTGTGTTACGGTCTCTTTTCCTTAGAATAATATTTTGGAGAATCATCTGGTTGTAGCAGTATTTCATTCTTGTTTATTGCTGAGCAATATGCCATTGTGGGAATAGCCATAATTTGTTTATTCATTCTCCTTTTGATGGACATTTGAGTTGTTTCCAGTTTCTGGCCACTATGGGTAAAGTGACTATGAACATTATTATGTAGTCTCTTAGTGACCATATGTTTACATTTAACTTGGGTAAATACTCAGGAGTGGAAATACTGGGTCACAGGGCAGATGAAAGTTTATCAAAAACCGCCATATGGTTTTCCGAAGTGGTTGTACTGTTTTACATTTCCATCATATTCTGCTATGCTTTTTCATCTCTGAAGTTGAATAAAATAGATTATTAAACTATATATAATTTGACTTAACAGAAAATGCATTTATTTCCTTACATAAGATTGAGGATAATAATACCACGTAAGTATTATAGGCAATTCTCTTAATTTCTGTTAGCTGCAATATTTTCATCTTTGGGGATAATGTTAATTGCCTACCAAGAGCCATGGTTCCTGACATAACTATGTGAAAGTACTTTAAAAAGCATAGAGCACTATACAAGAGTAAGATGGCATTATTGTTTTTATAATTAATCTGTATTATAATTCCATATAATTTTTGCTAATTTTGTAATATAGGGCTAATTCAGGTAATTTTGAAAACAAAGATATTAATAACTACTTGATATGTTTTTTAAAAATAATTTAAAAAAATTTCAGTTACAGTTGGCATAAATCTCATATTAGTTTCAAGTGTATAACATGGTAATTAGTCATTCATATAACTTATGAAGTGATCATCCCAATAAATCTAGTACTCATCTGACACCATACACATTTATTACAATATTATTGACAATATTCCTTATGCTGTACTTTACATCCCCATGACTGTTTTGTAACTACCAAATTGTACTTCTAATCCCTTCTCCTTTTTCACTCACCTCCAAACCCTCCACCCATATGGTAACCCTCAAAATGTTCTCTGTATCTATGAGTTTGTTTCTGTTTTGTTTATTTTGCTTGGATTCCACTTGTGAGTGAAATCATATGGCATTTGTCTTTCTCTCTCTGACTTACGCTACTCAGCACAATACCCTTTAGGTCCATCCATGTTGTTGCAGATGGAAAGATTTCATTCTTTTTCATGGCTGAGTATTATTTCATCGTATATATGTACCACCTCTTTTTCCATTCATCCATTAATGGACATTCAGGTTGCCTTAATATAACTTGGCTATTGTAAATAATGCTGCAGTGAACATATGGATTCACCTGTCCCTTCGAAAGTACTGTTTTGGGTTTCTTCAGATGAATATCCAGAAATGGGATTACTGGGTCCTTCTTTGTCTCTTGTTATAGCTTTTGTTTTAAAGTCTGTTTTGTCTGGTAAAGTGTTATTATCCTAGCTTTTTTTTTTCCATTTCTATTTTCATGAAATATCTTTTTCCATCCTTTTTCTTTCAATCTGTGTGTTTTTGATCTGAAGCGAGTTTCTTGTAAGCAGTGTATATAAGGGTCTTGTTCTCTTATCCATTCAGCCACCTTATCTTTTGATTGGAGCATTTAATCCATTTATATTTAAAGTCATTGTTGATAGGTGTGTACTTATTGCCATTTTATTATTCATGTTTTCAGTCTTTTTTTATTCTTAAAGAAGTCCCTCTAACATTTCTTATAATACTAGTTTGGTGTTGATGAACTCTTTTTCTTTTTTCTTGTCTAAGAAGCTCTTTATCTGTCATTTGATTCTAAATGATAACTTTGCTGGGTAGATTAATCTTGGTTTTAGGTCCTTGCTTTTCATCACTTCAGGTATTTCCTGCCAATCCCTTCTGGCCTGCAAAGTTTCTGTTGAAAATCAGCTGCTAGTCTTATGGGAGCTCCCTTGTAGGTAACTAACTGCTTTTCTCTTGTTGCTTTTAAGATTGTCTTTAACCTTTGGCATTTTAATGATGATATGTCTTGTTTGGGACTCTCTGTGCTTTCTGGGCTTGTATGTCTATTTCCTTTGCCAGATTAGGGAACTTTTCCGTCATTATTTCTTCAAATAGGTTTTCAGTTACTTGCTCTCTATTCTCCTGGTATCTCTATGATGCGAACGTTGGTATGGTAGATGTAGTCCCAGAGGCCCCGTAAACTATCCTCAATTTTTTGGATTTTTTTTCTTGTTGCTGTTAGGTTGAGTGTTTTCTGCGACCTTATCTTCTAAATTGCTGAGTTGATCCTCTGCTTTGTCTAATCTACTGTTGATTCCCTCTAGTGTATTCTTCATTTCAGTTATTGTATTCTTCATTTCTGACTAGTTCTTTTTTATGTTTCCTATCTCCATTTTTATTTATATCTCTTTGTTTTAAGTTCTCACTGAGTTCATCTACTCTTCCCCTAAGTTCATTGAGCATCCTTATAACCAGTGTTTTGAACTCTGTGTCTGTTAGATTGCTTTTCTCCATTTTGTTGAATTCTTTTTCTGGAGCTTTGTTCTGTTCTTTCATGTGGGACATGTTTCTTTGTCTCCTCATTTTGGATGCCCCTCCTGTTTTTGCTTCCATGTATTAGGTAGAGCTGCTATGTCTCCCAGTCTTAGTAGGGTGGCTCTATGTAGTAGGTGTTCTGTGGGGCCCACTGGTACAATCTACCTGGTCAGCTGAGCCGGGTTCTCCAGGTGTGTGTCTTGTGTGTGCCTGCTTCCTATTGTAGTTGACTTTTGGTTGCTCTGCACATCAGTGGGAGGGATTGATTCTCGGGCTGATTGGTTGTGAGGACTGGCCGGTGAGAGGCTGACCCTATGGAGCAGGATTCACTTTAGCAGGGCTGTGGCGCCTGCCCAGTTTGCCCTTGGGTGTGTCGTCCTCAGATGTAGCCCTGGGTGGTGCTCTGGCTTGATCTGAAGCAGGCCACTGGGCGTGCTGGCTCTGGGGCCTCCTGGGAGGGGCCCTGCTGCAGCTCAAGTTTAGCTGCAGCCTGTGCCCTGCCTAGGGTCACCTTGCAAGAATCACAAAGCAATCTACAGATGGCCACCACCTATGCTGGGCTTGGAGGTACCTTGAGAGACCAAGCCATGAACTGAGGGCAGCTGCTGCCTATGCTGGACTTGGGGCTGCACTTAGGGCTGCACAGCAAGAGGTACAGGGCACGCCAAGGCCAGATGGTGCTTGTTTGGGTTTGCGAACTTTTGAGAAATGTTAGGAAAGTCTGCAGCATGAGCCCAGACAGACTATTTGTATGGAAAAGCCACTGGAAGTGGCTTGGGTGGGCCTGCATGTTGGGTGGGCAGGGTCTCAGGGAATCAACTGGGCAGGGTGACCTGTGTTAGCCAAGTTGACCTTGACTCAGACATGCTACCACCTGCATCTGCATGCTGGGAGTAGGGAGGGCTCAACAAAGGAACAATGGCCTCTGCCAGTACTTCTGTCTGGGAGAAAGCTGCCTCTCCAGCCCTCACCTTGAAGCCAGATAACTCAGTTCCTCCCTGTATGTCTCTGGTGCCTTTCAAGCTGCTGCTCCAGCACTGGAGCTCAGAGTGACTGAGTCTGTCAGTTATTAAGTCTGCGCACAGGCCCCTTAAGAGAAATCTCTGCTATTCCCACCGCCCTCTGTCTCACTCTTCACTCAGCCACAATCTCTGCTGGTTTTTACAGCCAGAAGTTGTGGGGACTTCTCTTCCTGGTACTGAAACCCAGAGCTGGGGAGCCCAGTGTGGAGCCAGGACCTCTCACTCCTCCAAGGGGACCCTCGCAGCTGAGATATTTTTTCTGATCCTCAACCACTACACATGGGTGTGGGACCAGCTCGTTCCAGGTCTCTGCCCTTTCTACCAGTTTTGAGGTGGCCTCTTCTGTGTCCCCAGTTGTAGAACTTCTGTTCAGCTAGACTTTAGGCAACTCCTAATGATGGTTTAGTTGTAATTTTGATGTGATTGTGAGAGGAGGAGGTAAGTGCAATGTTAACCTACTCCACCATTTTGACTAGAAGCCTACCTGATATATTTATATTTAAATTATTCGTATAGTCTGCAATTCATCCTTAGAATAAAGAGTTATTATACTTAAATGTAATCGTTATTTGCTGTCTATTTACCTATTTTATCCTGTTTAGTCTGGAAAAGGATTTAATTAGAGATTAATTTATTAAGAAAAATAGGTGCTTAAGTTTCCTCTTTTGTCCACAAAGTGTCACTGTTGGATTATTTGAAAATCAAAAGCCATATAACATTTGGTTCTTTGTTTGCAGTTAAAAGTACTTCCTTTTAAAGCACTTTTGGTACTAGATTATTGGAAGACTAGTCTGTCCTACCCTGAAGTATGTAACGGTTAAGCTTGGTGAAAATGGTGCCTTTAGTATAGTTGGTTTAATGAGGAAACAGTTCTGCAAGTATCTTTTCTTGCTGCTGTAGTATTTGCAATGGGCAGAGGTACTTTAGGCCTTTGGTTCTGCTTGAAAGTGAAATTAAAGTCTTAAACCTTTCTTTCTTTCATTTTTCCTTTTGGTTTATTAATAAATCTTCTCTAGGCAAGAACATGATTGTGAAAAAGGTGGAAGCGTTATTAATACATATGTATCTATATATTTTTTAATTAATTTATTTTAATTAGTTTCACGTATACAGTACATTGATTAGACATCTATATAGTTTGTAAAACGATCCCCCCAATTGCTTCCTCCCTCCCATGACCCTCCACCTAACCAATGTATTAATGCTAACTGCATTCCCTATGCCATGCTTCCACCCCTGTGACCATCCATCAGCTACTAATTTGTACTTCTTTAACCCTTCACCCCATTCTCCCAGCCCCCAAAACCTCCCTCACCTCTGTCCATCACCAAATTGTCCACTATATTTGTGAGTCTGTTTTTCAGTTTGTTCTTTTTATTCCTTAGATTCCACATATAAGTGAAATCATATAGTGTTTATCTCTGTCTGACTTAAAAACCTTCTAGGTCCATCAAAGCAATATCTTTTTCCTCCCCCTTCCTTTTCATATGTAGGGGTCTTGTTTTCTTATCCTTTCAGCCCCTCTATCTTTTGGTTGGAGCACTTAATTCTTTTCCATTTAAGATGCTTATTGATAGGAATGTAGTTGTTACCATTATTTATTCCTGTTTTTGATACTTTTTTTATTCTTAAAGAAGTCCTTCCAACATTTCCTGTGATTCTGGCTTGGTGGTGATAAATTCCTTAAGTTTATTTTTGTCTGCGAAACTCTTTAT